AAGCAAAGAAATGGTTTTGCAGACATCTGCACAATGTGTTGAGCATTATGGGAGAAGGCCCAAAGGTATGTGTTTGAGTATTCAACTACTAGACGATGGAAGCATCTGTAGTTGATGTGGGTTTGGATTTAACTGGGGAGAATAGTAAACTTCAACTCTTTTCTCAGCCCCGGATGTGAGCCTTCCCTCATGCTGAACACTCCTGAATTCCCAGCATTGCTCTGCAGTTTCTAAGTTAACACCCCCAGCACCACTGCATCTCTTTCTAATGGTACAGCATAAGTACCCTTCACTCTCACGAAGCAGGAAGAAGGACAAACAATGAGGATATCTAGTTGTTGCCCATCAGGTATCAAGGATGCATCCATCTTTGTTAGAATCCAAACAAGTTTGCTTTTCTACAGTCACTTGGGATCAAAACAGCATGAACGTGCAGAAGTGCATTTGAAGTGTCACAAGAACCAACGTACTATCTTATCTGTCTGTACAGATATACAGAGCTATTAAATCTCTGAATATTGTCACACTGACATAAAAAAATCAAGAACAAGTTGACATTAACCTGCTTTTTGACTAATACCTACAGAGACATTATTAATATGAATCCATCCTAATTGCTCTTTGGTAATCAGAATGACAGATGTCACAGGACGCTATCTGTGCACACTTCACTATGCAAGACAAATGTGTTTCTCTGTCGCTACTTGATTTTATAATAATTTGTAAAATGTCTGTTACAATATTTATTATAAAATGTTATTAAGCAATATTAAAACATCATGAGCTAGATCCTGTTGTAGGATGTAGCCGTTCTGTTCAGATAAGGAAATCAGGCCTTAATAATAATAGCATAAGCAGTTCCCAGTAGATAAAGCCAATGCCCATAACTAGAGTGTAAATAAATGCCTTTTCCTCACCCTTTGCTCAAAGAGAAAAAGAAGACATGGCATCAGACCACAATTGATGTTACTGCAGTCAGTTGTATTTTCTTTTAAACTTTTCAAAGTTCTTGCAAACAGAAAGGAACCATCTCAGAACAGAACATCACTGATTTTGAACCAAAAAGGATACAGATAGATATAAGCCAGTTACCTTCCCTGCCTGCAAAATACTAATGGTGCATATTGTGTGTATCTGAACATTTGAATACTGTGCACAGAGTGAGATTCAAACAGTGACAAGTGTTTCTTTTGGGCTAACAGTTTAGAAAGGATTTTTTTAAGATGAGCTGAATATGGTGAAAAAAAAACAGCATGAGCCCTGGATAACTGTGAACCTGGGAAGAATACTGTCTTTCTACTGTTGCAACAAACCAGAGAATTCTCAGGACTACGTAGTATCACCCTACTGACACTGTCCTGGAGCGTACTGCTATTTCACAGCACCCCACTGCCTGTATATATAAATTTATGATGCCACAACCACAGCGCAAAGGGAGAGCAAATAAAACTAGCTGTGAAGGCCACGTGTGACCACTCAGCCTCATGCTGGGAGTCTCACACTTCAGTGCTGGTCTGTAATGGGATCCCCCTAACCCTCATATCTACTTCATAATGAAAAAAGTGTTGAAAAGGTTGTAATAGCAGTGGCAGTGTACAGCCATACCGAGTTGCCATTCAAATGAAAACAATGAGCAAATTTCATGCAGGACTAAATTGCATCAAAATTAATATTTTGCATTTTTCCAGCATTTCTGCCTCATTATATTGACTGAAGCTGAGACATTCACCTTGCGTTTTAAATTTAGCCATACAACTCATAGAAACTAAAAAGGAAAAAAAAAATCAGCAGAAATGCATCTGCAGTATTTAAAAGGATGGTAAAAAACTGCTTCATTTCTTTGTGGCCGTTTCCCAGGCATGGCGTGCAGTTATTTAATCAGGGCACTGTGAGTCCCTGCCGGTGGCAATACATGATTCTAAGTGAGGCTGTGCGCTTGATAATAAGAACTGACCAAAATGCTTGAGTGTTCTGCTTCAGAGCAGACTCCCCGAGACTATATTGTAAAGATTATTTACAGAAGAGGCAGTGGCCACACTATTAGAGTTTGTCAATTTTTAAGCATGACTGCATTTACATGTATGGACTAGGAAAAGCAAGAATTTCTTGGTATGTGGTAAGCAGTCATTTTTAATGTTCTCTGGAAATTTTGTTTTGTGTATGGAGTGGAAAACTTCAGTGTTTTGTTGAAGAGAAAATTGTAAACAATGCTTCATATTCTATATGCAGACCTACTGGAGATCACTACAGTTGGGTTGTAAGGGCACCAGATCTTTAGCTACCATCAATCAGCATAACTCCTCTGATAATCTGTACAATAGAAACGTGCATGATATTACACTTAATAGCTAAGAAATAACTTATCTTCATGAAAACCAATAAACAACAATGCTTTCCGTAGCACAGGCAGAGAACAGGTTACCCAGAGATGTGCTGGAATCCCTGTCCCTGGAGACATTCAAGGCCAGGCTGGAGCAGGCTCTGATCAGCTTGATCTAGCTGTGGATGTCCCTGTTCACTGCAGGGGAGTTGGACTAGATGATCTTTAAAGGTCCCCTCCAACTCTAAGGATTCTATGATTCTGTGTTAGCAGACTTCCCTTTTCATTTAACACAATGAGCATAAACTAACAACTACCTAAACTTGACATAATCAAGATATTTATTCCCCTATGATATGACTGTGCTCACATATAAAAGCACCAGCCCAAAAACAGCATCACATTGTGTAGACTGTAGTATAGATGCATTACAAGTACTACCTCCAGAAAGATCCCGATTTAAGACACAACAAATCTGCCCTGAAGAAAAAGGGCAGATACATATGGACTAAAGGACTTCTGCTCTTGTTAATACAACTACTTAGCAATCCATATTTAAACCAATATGCAAACACCAAAGGCTAATTGATTACATTAGTGAAAAAAGGCATGATGCCTCTTCGGCTTCTTTCCAGACCTTCTGGAGATTCCTGTCATCTTGTCATGCAATTTTGGACAAATGCTGTAAGGAAGCATTAATACAAATAGTAAGATCTGTTTATTTTTAATCAATGCAGATGTTTGACCAGAAGTCAGTAGTAGTATTGAAGCAGGAAAGAGACACAGCTATCATAAACAGCATTTCTGCAACATTTTAAGAAAGTCAAAACCAATGAGCAAACAGAGCAATTACTCAAGTTACAAAGTCCTGATATTAAAAAAAAAAAGCTCTACTTTTCAAAGAACAGACCATGACTTCTGGATTACTTCTTATTCTATATCTACATTGTTACACACATACTGAAATATTCTTGTTGAACTGAATGTAATGTGTAGATGGGCAGTGCAGCAGCAGAACACGGTGCAGACCGTGAAAACTTGGTTCTAGTCCTGCCAACAGCCCATTCTGATACCAGGTCAAGCTGTGATTTTGGGTGGAAGCTCAGTGCTGAGCACACATTTTTGAGCAGATCGGTTCTCCCACTCAGCCTCCGCACTCCCCTCTGCCAAACAGATGATCTTTTTGTCCAAAGCTTGCAAAATGTAACCCTTCTGTTACCTCCAGGTGCCAGTTTTTATTATGACAAGCATTACACTCTGCTTGTGATCTGACTGAAACTGAAACAGACATGTATGAGAACAAGAAAGAAGTCTGTATGTCAGAGGACCTGCAGAACTGTTGTACACATCTGAGTCAATCAGCTCAGGCAGCAGAGACTTTACTCTTCAATTCCATTTTAGAAAGTGTGGATTTATTCAGTCCTGAATCTATGCCAGGCATTGCAACAAAACCAACACTGCAGCTGAAGCACTGGAGTGGGAGAGTTACACCTCTGCCACCAGCATATGGACAACAGTAACATATTCATGAAAAACTGAAGGTAAAGGTAAAGCACAATTCCAGAACACAGCAATATCTGAAAACTTTAAGCACAGCAGAAGTGTTGGCAAAAATCTGCTACCACAGTGCTGCAAAGCTCCAGGATGTTAAGAGGCTTCCAGGCAAGTCTTTATGATACACATCAGATGGATGGTGAGTTCAAGAATATCAGCAATCCCAGCAGCAGCCAAGACTAAGACATCAGCACGTACACACAAAGCTTTTTTCCAGTGGCCTAACCAAACACATGCTGAAGCTTAGACAGTATTTTTCTTTACAGCAGCTCAGAGCTTTTTGCAACTTTTACCAAGATTTCTTGCCTCAGTGGTTACCTTGAGGATTAGAGGGGGCTTGTGGGCTTACTGAGTTGTAGAGAAGATAGTTTTGTCAATAAGAGAATAACCCTTGGGATCTCAGGGAAGACAAGGTCCTGGTGAGAACTTGAATTGACAGCTGTTCATCTTTTTACTTCGTCTTTCCATCGACGCTTTGGGAATGGTATGTCAATGGTTGCCTTCTGGATTACAATTTCAAGAAAGCTGCTCCACCACAGAACATTTGTTGAGCTCATAAACACAGCACTGTCACTGAAAAAGTGCACAAAGTGCTGTGCTGCTGTACCTTTTGCATAATGAAAAGGATTCATGTGGTTGTCACTTGTGCCTTTAAACGTGAAGCACGTTAAAGATTGCCAACATTTATGAAAAGCCGTATACAAAATCCACTTGATGGGGGAGAGCTGAGGTCCAACTCACTTTCTCAGATCGAGTGCACAGCCCATCTCACAAGGAGACACTCGAGTGCCGACACTCGAGCCGCACCAGCACCGCACCGACACGGCTCTGCTTTCCTGCCCCTCGACACAGGAGCGCTCTTTTGTCTCCAGCAGCCCTCGGGCTCGAGCCTCAGAGGGCACAGCCTTCACAGGGACCTCCCGAGCAACGCGGCGGTTTCTCCCTGCTAACCAAGGAGCGCACCCAGCACCTGACCGGGACCGTGCGGCACCGCGGGCCGGCTCGCACCGCACAGCACAGCACCGCACATCACCGCACCGCACAGCACCGCACAGCACCGCAGCCGTCCCCCGCCGCCCAGGGCTGCCCCAGCCAGCGGGACCCCCACCCGCGCCCCCACACTCACTTCTCCCCAGCGCCTCCGCCTTCCACTCCGTCTCCTCCACTGCCCCGTAGCGCCTCATGGGTCTCTCGGCCTCCGCGCTGGCCGAGATGGATCTCCTCAGCTCCATGGCCGGGCCGGGCGGCGCGGGGCTCCTCGCCTCCTTCACTCCATGCCGGCGGGGCTGCGGCCCGGCTGCCGCGGGAACGGTGCGGAGCTGCGGCTCCTCCGTGCGGAGCGGGTGCCCGCGGGCGGGGCGAGGAAGGGGCGCCGCGCACATGCTCAGTGCGGGGCTGGGCGGGGGGAGGCCGGGGAACAAAGCGAGCGGAGCCCCGCGGCCGCCCCCGGCATCGGGCAGCGCGTTGCGGTTACCCGGCAGACTCCCCGGGTCGGTCCTGTCCCCGTGCCGTGCTCGGCCAGCCCCACCTGCGCAGCGCTGCTGCCGCGCGGGTGTTGGCACAGCCCCGCATCTGCCGTGCGCGCTCCTGTGGCATCGGCGAAGCCAGCCGGAGTCCGGGAGGACCGTTTTGGCGGCCAGCGCAGCGCCGAGCGCATCGTCGGGCCTGAGCGGCTCAGCGGTACGGGTCAGCTCCACGGCCACGTCTGGCTTTTGCAGCCGCGCATATCTCAAGTGGCTGTGCACACATGTTTTGGCTTTCCTGACGGTCCCGCACCAAATGGCCTAACAGTCATTGCAGCATCCTGGTACCTAAAGCAGGACAGCACCCAAACAAGTGATGTGATTCTGTATTTCTCAAGTGTATTTTCCATAAACACACAACTTTGCCATTTATACAACCTTCTGGGATTAGAAGAGAAGGAAATGACTGTGCAAGAAGCACAAGTGGGGTGATAATAATAATAATAATTGCTATTATTTACTTTTATTGTAGAGGAGATTTTGTGAACAAAGCCCCTTGAACAGCATTTTACAGTTTGCATTATCTTTCCTAGTGAAATCCCATTGCACTTGATGGTGTGTGGTATCATTCTGATGTAGATGATGAAGCAAGAGTCGGGGAGATTGCCCAGGCTATGAGCAATGAGGCATGGATAATGCTGAATGCACATGGGGTGTGTGAAAGAAAGCTCGTGTGTCACATGCCTTTGCCTGGAACCTTTGCCTTGCCCTTCAACTCTCAATGCTACAAAAGTGCTACAGTGACATTTAGTGATGCTCTTACTAATTGGACTGACGCACATTGCTGCTATACTCATAAACAGTATTGTTTGGGAGTTCTTTACATGTTGGAGGAGAGAAAACCTCCACATCAGTTTTAAAACAGTAACACTGAATTATTTTTTTTCCTGAGAACTGAAATTGTTACCTAATTGAGTTGGACTCCTAGAAAGCTGCAAGGAGGCATCTCTGGAGCCTTCTCTTCTTTAACAAGCCTAATCTTTCTTTGTCAGAGAGGTACTCCAGCCCTTTCATCACCTTTGTGACCCTCCTCTGGTCTAACTCCAAAACTCTACATCTTTCCTGAGCTGGGGGCCCCAGGCCTGGATGTCGTACTGCAGGTGGGGCCTCACAAGGGCAGATTAGAGGAGGACAATCACCTCCCTTGCTCTTCTGGCCACCCCTCTGCTGGGAGCTGGGATACTGTTTGCCTTTTGGGCAGCAAGAGTGCACTGCTGGCTCATGTCTGGCTTTCTGTCCACCCAGAGAAGCTGTGGGTGCCCCATCCCTGGAGGTGTTCAAGGGCAGGTTGGATGGGGCCCTGGGCAGCCTGAGCTGGTGGGGTGCAGCCCTGCCTACAACGGGAGGTTGGAACTAGATGATTTTTAAGATCTCTTCCAATCTAAGTCATTCCCCCTGCGCTCAGCACTGGTGAGGCCGCACTTGAGTACTGTGTTCAGTTTTGGGCCCCTCACTACAAAAAGACATTGAACGTGTCCAGAGAAGGGCAATGAAACTGGTGAGGGATCTGGAGCACAAGTCTTATGAAGAGTGGCTGAGGGAGCTGGGATTGTTTAGTCTGGAGAAGATGAGGCTCAGAGGAGACCTCATTGCACTCTACAACTTCCTGAAGGGAGGCTGTGATGAGGAGGGGTTTGGCCTCTTCTCCCAGGCAACAAACAGGAACCGAGGAAATGGCTACAGGTTGTACCAGAGGAGATTTAGGTTAGATATAAAGAAGACCTTTTTCTCTCAGAGAGTGGTCAGGCACTGGAATGGCTGCCCAGGGAGGTGGTGGAGTCGCCATCCCTGGCAGTGTTCAAGAAGTGTCTGGATGAGGAGTTACGAGATATGGTTTAATAGCTTGTGGTAGCAGTGGTGATGGAGGGTGGTTGGACTAGATGATCTTGCAGGTCATTTCCAACCTTGTGATTCTATGATTCTATGATTTTAGAAGGTCCTCTGAGCGCTGTGATTTCTCTCATTTTCTCACTCTGCTCCACAGGGATTTGCAGTGATATGAGCACCAGACATGGTGAGGAGCTCCCATGGACTGCACAACGCTTCATACTCACTGGTTTTGGCCTTTAGAGATAGAGCCCAAACAAAGCTGTGAGTCAAGCAGGAAAGCTGGTGGCAGCACGCTGCACAGCTGATTTTGGGTGACAGTACAGCTGCTTGCTGGGGTGGGCTGGACTGAGTCACTTGTAGAAGTGAGGAATACAAGTGTGGGAGGAAGAACCCATCTGGGATCTGGGTGAGAGTTGGACAAAGGGAAACAGGCTGAACAGGCTGAAAAGGGAAAAGGGCCAAGTTTGGGTGGATTTGAGGCCTATTTAGCTTCAATCCATTCCTTCAGTGTTTTAGATTATTATAATCCAAGCGCTTTGTTTAGGAGATGGAGGAATAATCATAGAGATAATTGAATATTTAAAGCTCTGCATTTGTTATTATGGGTGAAAAACACTCACTGAATAGGAAATGGGATGCACAGAGTTTCCTTACATCAGGCAAAGAGTGTATAAAGTGATTTATGGTAACTGGAACTTTTTTACCTGCCCATTTTGAAATTGTCACAAAATCCAGAAAAGGCCCAGTCCTACAGGTGTGAGCAGGTATGTGGAAGCAGTCCCACTGAGTCCATTTGCACAGAGGTTTTTGCAAGACCAGAGCCTAAGTACAAACCAATTTTTTTGCTCATGCAAGTTACACAATTAGCGTTTTCACTGTTGCAACTTCAGAGCATTTGCAAGTGGAATTCAATTTCTCCCCTTCTGATGGAGCTTGCAGTGTACCCAGCAGTACACATGCATTTCTCCAGTTGCAAAAGATGGTGTTCTTACGCTGAAATCCCTTTTAAGAAAAAAAACATTAAAATTCAGATCCCTTCTCATTGCTCAGTGGATAATGCCTTGTAGAAAAACAGAGGTGCACTTTGCTCCAGCGGTCATTTCCCCTGACTGCTTTTGTTTCATTCCCATTTCTCAATTTTAAGTCCTGCCAATGGGAGCTGTAGCTGGTCAGCAGCAGTTGGTAAACCCATTCACCTGTCTACTGCTCTTCTGGCCTCCACTATGCATCACTGATGCCCCATGGCAGACACAACACTATAAATAGCAGGCACACTCAATGGCAACATGACTTGTAAATCCAGTGGGGAGAAAACTCTTTCTTTGCTTTCATGGAGCTTTTCAAGCACATGGGATTACTCAGCCTGAAGTTCTCAGATCTCTCTTGTCTTTATGGGCACATCTAATACTCCAAAAGGTTCTCAAGAGGTGCTTTGAGAATCTGGGATGGGCTGCAGTAAAGGAAGAAGTCAGGGTCATTGTTCTTTGTCAGACAGTACTGTCATTCTAAGACAAAAGTAACTTTAAATGTTAAAATTCTGCCAAGGTTTTTACTTATTTCTCATTACAATCAGAACCTGCAACTCTGCTGATGAAATAAAATGAAATTAAGTGGATTATGCACAGTTATTTTGTAGGCATAAATTCCCAGATCCATGATTACTAGGACAGAAGTGTGGGACTTCTGTGAATCTGTCCTATAACATTTCTTAAACACTAAGACTTGTTTAAAAACATCTCTGTTGGAGGAGTTACCAAAATTCTATGGTATGTGATGTCATGGTTAATTTTGTTTCCCTGTGAAAATACCTCCTCTTCAATCTTCATCCCTCAGCTCTTAGGATTCTCTTAGTTCCAAGTCTTTAGCATTCCCCCAGTTATTCCTGGTACGCTGTGCAGCCTCTGACCCTACATCCCACAGGCTGTGTCAGCAATGTGTAGGAGCTCCAGGAGGCATTAGGCTGCACACATTCACAATGCTGTGCTTCAGCCCTTACATCACCTCCAGATATGACTTGTCAGGCATATGCATGGCATGAAAATGCCCTGGTGCAAAGCTATGGGCACTACAGGAAAATGCCTACCTGTTGGAAAACCTGATGGTCAAACAGATTTTAGAAGGCATGCACTTAATTTCCTGATGCTTCCTCTCCAAAATCACTGCCACATGTCACACAGACAGGGTGACCTCTCGGGGTGACAAAACTGCACTCAGCGCAGCTCTTACCAAGAAATGAGGATCTGTGCAGTTCCTGTGGCTTTGGCTATATCATGAGATAGGACAGTAGTGTGCTGTCCTGGGAGCTGGAGCGGTAAATCTGTACCTTATAGATCAGTTTTTCCCAAATTGTTATGACCAGTCCATATAAGTAGTTTAACATGAGTGTCCCAGCCTGTGCCACCAGACAATATGAGCTTGTCTGAGTAAAAGGGACCCTATTGCACCAAGGATTCAAATTATCACAGAGCAAAAATCAGGTATGTGTTGTTCTTTGTGTATTTCTTAACATTTCTATCATCAGCCTCCCTAGAAGATCATTTGCTTTTCAAAGAGTTACAATTAAATACAACCCTAATAAAAAATGGAGGGAAATAAGATGTATAGCTAAAATTTACAGAAGTATCCTTGACACAGAAGATACCTTCTTGCTATAATTTCTATCTTCAATTTTGTACTAAGATTAAAGAGTTCTTGGAAGCCATGACCCTGCCATGCTGCACTTGAAAGAGAATCTGCTGCAGCACAGCCTTTCCAGAACGAGGGCCTGGACTAAAAAGCCAGTGCAAGTTCTTCCTATGTTGTTTCCTTTTTTATGAATCCTAGGCTCATGGTTAGTGTCCTTTGTACACTTATTTATTTAGAATTACAGCCTTTCCATACATGAAACACTCCTTTAAAAATAATTTTTAGGCTGAAGTAACTTCATAAATAATTCACCATAGCTGCAGCTAAGTAACTAGGATCTTGGTCGTTCTCCACAGCTA